CTAGCTCATGATGTGTTGTATAAGCTCAACTCAGCTCATGTGTTGTATAAGCTCTGCTCTATGCCACCCTGACAACAAGGGCTATTTTTTTATCATATTCTGATTATATCGGGTCAGACTGGATTATCGTGATTAAGCGACCAGGGACTGAAATGCGCTGAACCTTCCTGTTCCAGTAAGCAGAGAGTGAAACAACAGTGACAACGGTAATTTGAACAGGGTGACATATTCATGTGAAAAAGTGTTCGACAGAAAAACGCTTAGATCGAAAAGAGTTAGTGATTATCGTTAAAGACAATTCCCTCGATCAAGTGTTACCAGTAGCCACCAAGTAACTCGTTAGTAGAGAAAGATGCGGAAAAAAAGCTTGGAGACACTCTGGACCCAACTTAGCAGTAGGGCCGGTGCCTTGGGCGAGTTTGTCGGGGGTTGGAAAGCCGAATCAGCCAGCAGGATTCGACGTGCAAGCCGATTCCCGGCAAGAGCACAGGAAATCACCCTACGACGCTCCAGGCAACGCTATGTACACACGCATTCCGCTTGTAAGCCGTTGTCTTGCAGAGTGAAAGTAATCGTGGTTGCAATGGTTGCAATAATCACGCGTCTCTAGCTTCTTTATCTCGCCCTTTTGAATGATGAAAGTAATGTATTGTTGTGAAAGCGGACAACGATGCTCAATGCATGGCGACTTTTCGCGGACTACTTGATCGCGGCAACTGTCTTTAACATAACCACACGGGTGGGGGATGCGGGTTCGAGTCCTGCCTGGAGTCTGACTTTTGTCCCTAACTCAGCTTTCTTCTGATCACTATCGTTAAGGTTTTACGAGAAGTATGGAGCGCGATCGGTGTTCTTCACAGCTGGCATGATCTCGACCATCTCAACAGCAATAATGCCAATAACAGCCGCCTACAGCTGGCACGCTTTTCTTGTGGCACGATTTTTCCAGGTGTGTTGTACAAAAGATTGTCTACTGTTTCTCAATGATACTTCTAAAAACAAATTCCGTGATTACCTCATGTAAGGGGCTTCCCTTCTTTGATGATAATGGATGAGTAGTACACTCCATATACTGGAAGTGGGGAAGGCGTGACTGCTTACTGCACTTCTATACGCTCTCCGTCTGTTTAAGGTATTTGCATTGGAGACAGTTGTCTGTTTTGAGCTGGACAGCGACATAAATTGTCCCAAAACGGAACGGAACTGTCAGAAGCGCAGCCGCAGCCACGCCCTCCCTATCGGGGATATTGAGTATAACTACCTTTCGGGTAATTTATTTGACCCCACGAAACATCAAGGCTACCACCGCATTACTTTCCTCTAGTGCACAAAAAGCTACAGGAAATAGATACATTAACTTTTCCGTAAAACCCACCCACTTGCAGTCCACATCTGGGGCATTTACAAGTGCTCTCGACAACGGTTGCTAAGGCCAGACAGTTTAGAGGATACATGAGTAAGAATAGCACTAGGGGCGCAAATCAGAGCACGTCCTGGTGTTGGGGAACATTTTCCAGAATATGACCTACCTGCCTACGTGGATGAATAACTTTCTGCTGGTCCTGACACAAATATGCAGCCATCACCGAGTATACAGTCGTCATCCAGGCAGTTGGATTAGGCGGTCAAAGGGTCGCAGACGCGGCTGCGGCGCGTCACGACCGCGGCGATCAGCTGTTTCCAGCCTATTTAGCCATTTTCTCCCTAATTTTCACTGTATTATTTATTTTTTCAAGGTCAGCTGTTTTTGTCTCATATGAAAGTATATGAAAGGCGGATTCTTTTTTTGGTATTGCAATGAAGTGTTTTGCGATTTTTTTAGAAATTTGTTTAATTGTTTGTTTAATACTTTAATTTTTCGCACAAATTAGAAAAATCTCAGTCATAGTTTCACCTTGTGAAGACAAGGAACAACTAACCTCAAGAAAAGCAGCCAAAAACAGTGAAAATTAGGGAGAAAATGGCTAAATAGGCTGGAAACAGCTGATCGCCGCGGTCGTGACGCGCCGCAGCCGCGTCTGCGACCTTTGACCTAATCAATTGCTCGGATGACGGCAGTATTTGAAAACGTCCCTTCACCCACGTATATGGATTCTAGATTTGACCTTCGTAATGTCATCTCTCAACTAATACTGTTATCTACGTCTTTTCAGGGAATTTCATTCGGTGCTGACTTCGCGGCCATCGGACTCATCGTTGTTCACTGGGCTTCACTCAAACAACATGGGTTTTTCATCTCATTATTGTCATCCTTCTCGCAGTTGTCTGTCATGTTTACGATGCCAGTAGCGGGCGAGGTATTATCTCGCATTATTTATTTTTTCGTATCTCTACTCCAAATTATTTAATAAAATGAATTAAGCTATGTGAATCCTCATTGGGATGGCCGTCTGTTTATTATTTGCACGCGGCTCTCAGTGGAGCTTTGTTCACAGCTTGGTACTACTACTACAGGTGATCACTTGCTTTGTTTCTAGGGTGAAGGTGCATATAACCTAAAATCTGTTACAGAAACAACCCTGCCGAACACCCTTCGATGACTGACATCGAACTCGAAAAGATCCATCGCGGCAAAGGAGACGTCAAAGAGCGGTTCAGCACACCCATTAAAGTAAGTTGCCGGATAGAACTTCAACATAAGTACACTACACTGCTTACCTGCAAAGTTGGTCCATGGGCGAGCATAGCGCGCTGAAATCTGTGTGAAGGTACCGTTTCCGCCGTTTCGAAATACGTGGCGACGCTGGAGGACTGCACTCGTTTTTTTTTTCGTCGCAAGCAAAGCACGACACGCAACAGACGCGCAACACGCCGACGACGACCTACCA